GCTCTGAGATTTTCTGAAATAGGAAGTTTTTTATGAAATCGCAGATAAGAATCTTTTTCTTAGTTTCATGCAAAAAAAGTGGAACAATCAGAACGTCAAATATGCAATTTCTCTTCTATTTCTGGGTGTACCTGTATTTCATGTTTATGTAAATTGTACAGATTTTTTCTTCTTATTGATTTTTAACTGATTTGCTTCAGATCTTCTGGGCATGCGCCTCACTGGTGGGACACAAGGTGTGCCAAGGCGTACGTCTGAGTGGTTTGAGCGTGCGTTCCGTGGATATGCGCCCCCCACTCTCACCTCAGTGCGATTTACCATCGCCTCGCCCAAAGACGAGTCTCAAGGCGCGCCCCATCAGCGCCTTTGAAAACACTGATTCTACCCTCCACAGACTCCGGATTTTACTGGGTTGTTGTTGTCGTTTTATTATTTATAAAAATAAAATCTTTTTCCCCATTTTCATGGGTTTTGTTTGCAACAATGGGAATGGATCTTCTACCCATTTTTTTCTCGGACATAGTTAACGAATTCACCCAAATCAAAAACCTTATAATCTATTGATTAAAATGTGCAGAAGTTTTGGGATGATATGCGAGTTAATAATACTAGATTTTGGGGAAAAGATGAAGAATGGTATAGTGGAGGCAGAAAAATAGGTTAGTGATTAGGCCATTTGGTGAAGAAAAAGGTTTAGTGGAAAGAAAAAATAATTTTACTCCTATGACATATTTTAGGCGTATCAAAAGTTGTATCTAATTTAATTAAAAAGTTAAAAAGTTGTAATAAGTTGTATATAAAATAATTTTTTAAAAGTGGTTGTATTTTTTTATAAATAACTCTTTAGATTGTTGTATTCCGGATAAATTTCCCCTAATTCTTCCATGTTGCTCTTATGGTAAACAACCTCCACTTCCAACCAAGAGGTTGTGAGTTCGAGTCTCCCCAAAAGCAAAGTGGGAAGTTCTTGGAGGGAAGGATGTCGGGGGTCTATTTAGAAACAGTCTCTCTACCTCAGAGTAGGGGTAAAGTTTGCGTACACACTACCCTCCTTAGACCACATTAAATTGGATTATACTGGGTTGTTGTTGTTGTTGTTATTGCTTCCATGGAAGTCGTCTATATAAGGCTAGCACAAACCTAAACAAATGAAAATAACAATATAACCTCTTTCTATGGTTAGCATTAAGATCTGTATCTATACCATATTAAAAGCATGAACCCCTTAGTTAAAAGTTAAATTACTTAAATGCCCCTTTAAATTATATTAAAACCCTAATTTTAAAATAAAAAAAATTAATGCCTACAAGAGGGCCCAAGCGACGTTTCATGCTTTATTAAGAGACTATCACGACCTAACCCCGAACCGGTCGTGATGGCGCATCTCGTGAAGACAAGGCCAACCAGTTGCCAACTCAACTTTTAAAGCAGATAATCAACATAAAAATAGTCTAAACATGATTTAAAAAATACTAAATAGCGAAAATATCGATAGCAATGCGGAAAGTCCAACTTGACACAGCCCTAACCGGGGTGTCACTATTCACGAGCATCTACTAGGGTATAAATACAACTGAAAGTCTGAAGTGTACAAATACAGACTAATGAAATGAAGAGAGAGAAAAGTGGTGCTGCGGACGTCGGCAACTACCTTGCTAAACTATGATGATTCTGCATCCGACCAGCCAATACCCACTACCAGGTTCAGAAATACCTTAATCTGCACACAAGGTGCAGGGAGTAAAGTGAGTACTCCAACTCAGTGAGTAATAATCATAACTAAAATCTGAATGGTAAGAAATCACGTAAAGCATATCAGGATGTTGTATAGAAGCAGTTCAAATCCAGTAAGAGAGCAGTGAAGCTGTAAAATCTCTTAAAACATCTTAGCTCAGTTTGAAATTTCTTTGAAAATGACTTTTTTCAACAGTTATACAAATGAAGGCAAAACAATTAGTGCAGATAAGCACAGAAATTCGCCCCTCGGGCACAGATACACAATTTAAACAAGTAAATGGCAGGCAAATAAGAAAAGATAAGCACATAAGGTTCGCCCCTCGGGCACAATGTCATCAAATCCGCCCCTCGGGCAATATCTCAGAACAGTACCAGCCCCTCGGGCTCAATCTCACATCACAATGGGTACCCGCGCTCACTAGGGGTGTACAGACTCTGGAGGGGCCCCTTACCGCCCAAGCGCAATATCAAGCCATCTCGTGGTGTCAAATCTAGTCCCTCGGCCTCATATCAATCAACAGGCCACCTCGTGGCGTACATATCTCAGGCCCTTGGCCTCATAATCAAATCAGTATCTCAGTGCTGCAGCGTGCAGCCCGATCCAAAAGTATCCTCACAATACAGTCCCTCGGCCTTACTCAGTCAAACATCACATAAGCCACTCGGGCAACAGTAAAACATGATGCTCAGCCCAAAATGTTGTTTGAAATATCATTTCAAGTGTTAAAGCAAAATAAACTTGGCTGAGTTTTGAAAACAATGGAAAATAACATAACTGAGTTCAACTATAAAATTAAAACAGTGAGGAAATGTCAACAACAATCCCTGAAGGGTTCAAATAGCTGGCACTAGGCCCAAATATGGCACTCAGCCCAAATAATGATGATAGCAATTAGTTTTCAGTCAAATACGCGGTAAAATCATAAATCGGGATGGATCAAGTCACAATCCCCAATAGTACACGACCCCACGCTCGTCGTTAATCGTTTGTCTCACCTCAATATAGCACTACAATGTGCAATCCGGGGTTTCAAACCCTCAGAATATCATTTATAATCATTACTCACCTTGAACCGGCTAAATCTTTAGCTCGGGCGCCTTTGCCCCTCGAATCGGCCTCCACGTGCGTAGAATCTATCCAAAATCAGAACGAATATGTCACAATATGCTAAGGGAACAAAGCCCAAGCGAGAACAATCAACAAAGGGCACGATTCCCGAATTACCAAAACCCGAGCCCCAGGCCCACGTCTCGGAATCGGGTAAAATTTACATTTTCAAAATCCTCATACCCTCAC